GAGACTAGGACCCGAGGGCACAGCCTTAGAGTAAAGGGAAGACCTTTTAGAACGGAGATAAGGAGAAACTTCTTCAGCCAGAGAGTGGTGAATCTATGGAACTCACTGCTTCAGAAGGCTGTGGAGGCCAGGTCATTGAGTACATTTAAGATAGAGATAGATAGGTTCTTGATTGTCAACGGGATCAAAGGTTATGGGGAAAAAGCGGGAGAATGGGGTTGAGAAATTTATCAGCCATGATTGAATGGCTGGCACATTTGATGGGCTGAATGGCCTAATTTCTGCTCCTATGTCTTATGGTCTTATTGTCACCTCTGAAGCAGGTAGGACCTGAATCTGGGCCTTCTGGCTCAGAGATAGGGTCAAAAATTGGTAGATGATAGCCCAGTGGCAATATTGCTAGACTATTAATCTAAAGGTCCAGGTAACATCCTATGGACCTGGGTTCGAAACATGCCACAGCAGGTGGAGAAATTTAGATTCAATGAAAAATCTGGAATTAAGAATCTAATGGTGACCACAAATTTATTGTTGATTGCTGGAAAAGCCCAAGTGGTTCACTAATGTCCTTTAGGAAAGAAATTGCCATCCTAACCTGATCTGGTGTACACGTGACTCCAGGCCCACAGCAATGTAGTTGACTCTGAACTGCCCTCTGGGCAATTAGGGATGGGCAAAAGATGCTGGCCTAGTGAGTGATGGCCTGATCCTGTTAATTAAACTTTTAAAAAACCACTAATGTGTCACATGGGCCCCCAGGATTCTACCATATTAGATTGGTTTTGACATTGAACACCTGATGGTCTGTATGGAGGTAGCTTTGACACAACAATCCTTTCAACTAATCATAGATTTAACACCATTGTGAGCACACAGTCTAATGGCTGATCGGAAGTATGCATCAGTGTTGCCATCTTTGGTCGAATGTACTTCTGAAGGTTTCATCACATGACCTCATTTTGTGAATGGTCCCCTGGCCCAAACATTCTATGCTACCACCATTGGTCTCATGTGTGAGAGACCACATGTTTTCTTCTTAGGGTCACTAAACTGAAATAGTAGTCTGACAGCTATAACTGAAACACTAAATATAAAATAACTGAAACACCAGGAGAGTTTTGCAACTCACAAATTGTGTACCGTGTATTTCTTTTTGTAAGCTATGTGACATAATGTTGTTTCTCAAACTGGGGAGGGAAAATCGAGACTGAGAATTATCTTTTGTGAAGTTTAGACCAGTCTTGTAAAAGTGTCTGTTTTGACTGTCAGAGCATACATTCACAGAGGAACTGTACCAGGTTTTGATTAATCAAACCTTTGTTTAATATTTGAAAACATCGATGGCTCATTTTGCAAAGGAAACCAGTTTTCTGTAGAGAGAGAAGACTGACAAGGATTGGAGAACCTTCCATCTTTAAAAAGTTCATATCGAAAAGAAATCAATAAAACAAAGTATCACTGAGAAATATAAATATATAATAGAGAGCATACCAAAGGTTATTGTATTATATGCAACATGCAAAGTGCACACAACGGCTGCATAATAAACTAAGGGGAGTGGGAGACCAGTGTGGAACTGGGGTTAGGTCTACCTTTCCCAGTTAAGGCTACGCTTTGCATATGGAATACTTGCCTGGGCCAAACATATATTGTGAACAAAAAGCACTTCACTCTGGGCTGGAGTTGAATCAGAGATAGTAGGAACTGCAGATGCTGGAGAATCCGAGACAACAAGGTGCAGGCCTAGACCTGTGCCCGAAACGTCAGCCTCTCTGCTCCTATGATGCTGCTTGGCCTGCTGTGTTCATCCAGCCCTGCACCTTGTTGTCTCACTCTGGGCTGGGTCTACCTTGTGTGAGCTGTAAATATACTTCACCCAGTGTCCGGTGGTCCTCTTGCTTTTGTCCCTGCTATGTGTGTGCCCACCTCTGCTTTCCCTTTGATCTGTATCTTTTAAGAATTGGGTTGAGTAATGATTTCTGGCAGCCATTTACAAAGTCAGACCAAATGCTCCTGCCCTCTTGTCTGAGGGAAAATATACCTGTCACTGAGATCCACAGGTTTCCTTCAGTTGCAAATTTACTGCCCTCCCACCCCCATAGACCTGGTTGAGTTAGGCAACAGACAGATTGGTGGTGGAGGGTACACTGAGTGGAAGGGGTTCTTGGGGATGGAAGTGTGAAGGAACGTCACTGCTGAGTTTGGACTCATCCCACAATAAAGTTTAGCCACTAGACTGAGAACAGGGGCAGGATTTGTTTTTATTCATTTGTGGGATGTGGGCGTTGCTGGCTGGGTGGGCTAGTTGGTCTTGAGAAGGTGGTGGTGAGCTGCCTTCTTGAACCGCTGCAGACCACCTGCTGTGAGTTGACCTGCAACGCCTTTAGGATTTTGACCTAGTGACAGTGAAGGAACTGTGACATATTTCCAAGTCACGACGGTGTGTGGCTTTGTGGGGAACTTGGTGTTCCCATGTATCTGCTACCCATATCCTTCAAGATGGAAGTGGTTGTGGGTTGGAATGTGCTGTCTAAGGATCTTTGGTGAATTTCTGCTGTGCATCTTGAAGACAGTAAACACTGCTCCTACTGAGTGTCGGTGTGGCAGGGAGTGGACACTTGTGGATATGATGCCAGTCAGATGGGCTGCTTTGTCCTGGATGGTGTCAAGCTTCTTGAGTGTTGTTGGAGCTGCATCCATCCAGTCAAGCGGGGAGTATTCCATCGCACTCCTGACTTGTGTCTAGCTGCTGCTTATCTGCCCCTAATGCAAGGCTTCCCAGGTCCAAGGAAAGTGCTCTGGTTTCACTTGCCCAGGCTGAGCTGCCGACCCAGAACAGTCTGCTGACCTTTCTGGTTTGGAATGGCTCAGTTGCCTGCTCACGGCAAGTAGAACATGACACCCCCATCCCTTCATGGAGAGATTCACCAGGTGGTCACGAAGCAGGTCTGGAAACATTCCCTGATTCTGGGTGGGCAGGAGGTGTATGGAAGCTCAGTGCCATGTGTCAGAGACTACGGAGAAACAAATAAAAAATCGAACAAACCAGGTTGTGGCCAGAAAGCAACTCCTGTCAATGTCCTGTGTGCACCGACTCACAAATTGTGTCTTTGGCTTTGAGGTTAGGTTTCCTGAAGCAGCTGAGGAGTCCATATCTTGAGGAGTTTCCTATATGGGCACTTGTGTTTGAGGCTCATTGAATCATTTAAATGGTTATATATTCTCAGTTCAGCTTCCAGGTCCCATATCCTCTCTCGTCAGAGCAGCCACTTCCAAACTCCATAACGCTGCCTAGTGCCAAACCTGTTCCAGCTCCTCCACCTCTGAAACCCTCATCTATGACTTTCTAATCTCCAGATTTGGCTACGGCTATTCTCTCCCATCCCTTAACTATAGCTCATCCAAAACATGGTTGGTTTTATCTTAATGCGTTTGAAATCCCACTCACTCACTGGGCTTGTTCCTGGGATATGGCAGTGCCTCATATATTGGTTTTATGTTTTTGTTTTAATCTGCCCCCAGCAATCTTACCTCTTCCCAATCTTTCTCACTTTGTCCAGCCCCGCAGAACTTGGAGATCACTGCACACCTTCCATTTCTGGCTCTTTGTGCTTTTCAGGCTCCACCATTTAAGTCCAAATCCCTGGAAGACCTTATCCTAAAACCATGCAATTTCTCATCCTGTAAGAGGTCCCACCAACCCCACCACTTTGAAGAAGTTTTTGGTCACATATGAATTCGGAACTGGTGTGGGCCACTCTGCCCCTTGATGATATTCAATAAGTCCAATGCGAATCTGATTGAGGCCTCACCTCCACATTCCCACCCATCCCAGGGGTTCTGTTGGTTACCTGCCCCACCATCTCTTTTCCTGCCTCGCTGACCAGACACTGCCTGACTAGGTCACCTGTGAAATTGCCTTCGGATGGTCTGCGAGCTCATGGGGCGCTATATGAATGCATATTGGCATCGTGGAGATAGGCAAACAAAGTTGATGTCTTGGTGTCACTGGACAGATAGCTCCAAACAAGATACCAACAGCGAACAGGGCCCAGGACGTTACAAACTGAGGAAGGCAAAATTCAGTTCTGGTCTTGGCTTGGTGGGGGGGAGAGGCGATAGGACCTGGCTTCTGACCACAAAAGACTTTTACCACGCAGCCACTTTTGGTTGAGCAACTCCACGATTCCTAAAAACTTTAAAAGATACAAAGGCGATGCTGGAAATCTGAAGCAAAGAGAAACAGAAAAAGCTCAACAGCATCGGTGGGGAGAGAAACAGTGACCCTTTCCTCAGAATAGGACTGGGAGTGTTAACGCTGCTTTCTCTCCGCACGGATACTACTGAGTTCCTCCAGTTTGTGTACCTTTGTTTTGTTTTGGACTTCCAGCAGCGGCAGTACTGTGTTTTGAATGCAAATTCCTCTAATCGCCGCGCTCAGGTGATTTTTTTTTTGAGTGCACATTGGCTCAGTGGTTAGCGCTGCTGCCTCATAGCAGTGGGGGACCCGGGTTCGATTCCACCCTTGGGCGACTGTCTGTGTGGAGTTTGCAATAATAGTCTCCCCTTGTCTGCGTGGGTTTCCTCCCACCGTCCAAAGATGTGCAGGGTAGGGTGGATTGGCCAGGCTAAATTGTCCAGGGATGTGCAGACTTGGGTGAGTTAGCCATGGGAAATATGGGGGGGTGGGGAACAGGTAAGGGTTAATGGGATTGTGGGGGGAGGGAACAGGTAAGGGTTAATGGGATGGGGTGGAGGATCGGTGCAGGCCCTAATGGGCTGAACGGCCCCCTTTCTGCCCTGGTAGGGGATTCCGTGACTTCTGGAAAGGGGATGGGATGGGGGCCAGCTACATCTGGCGCTGCACCACACCGTCCCCTTAAAAGTTTTTGGTGAAAGTTTATTTTGTGTGTGTGTGTGTGTGTACGCGGGTCCTTGGCACCGGTCGGGAAAGAAGCGAGGAGGGGGATGGAGAAGAGGAGGAGGGGGATGGAGGGGGGTGGAGATGGAGGGGGGGAGGGGGAGGGGGGAGGAGGGAGTGACCGTCACCCTAGGGGCTTAGGTTGGTCACGTTCCTGCCGTCGGGGCCCCCTCCTCCCTCTCCTCCCCCGCCGGCGGCGGCGCGGGTGGGCATGACGACGAAGAGGAAGATCCCGGACAGCACCAGGGCCGCGGTGAAGATGAGCACGAAGCCGACCGCCACGTAGTAGCAGCCGCTGGAGCGGATGGGCAGCCAGGCGAGGTGCCGGGGCCGGGAGTCCGAGCTGCGGCGTGCGGGCTGGCCGACGTCCAGGCTCAGGCTGACGCTGCTGAGCTGCATCGGCTTGAGGAAGGAGCCGGGCTCCGTGCCGGTGGTGTAGAGTCTGCCCTTGTCGCGGCTGAAGCGGATGGACGGCACGCTGCGCATCCCGGAGGGCAGGCGGCGCAGCACCTCGCGGTTGTTGTCCAAAGCCGGCAGACCCTTGCCCGGGGGCAGCGGCGTGAGGCGCCGGCAAACCGGGCAGCTGACCGCGCTCACCGTCTCCGAGCTGATGTTGATCCGCGCCAGGCACTCCAGGCAGAAGGTGTGACCGCACCCGAGCAGCTTCGGCAGCTTGAACACGTTGTCGAAGCCGCTGAAGCAGATGTCGCACTCCAGCTCGCACGGCCCGCTCCCGCCGCCCGCCGTGTCCGCCCTCTCCGCCGCCTCGCCCGCGTTATCTGCGTGCACAAAAAACACTGCCGGTCAACTCACCCCCACATGCTGCCCCGGGGGGGGTGTGTGTATGTGGTAGTGTCCCCACCTGTGGGGTAGGAGTCCGGGCTTCCAGTCCCACATGCTGCCCCGGGGGAGGGGGGGTGTGGTAGTGTCCCCACCTCTGGGGTAGGAGTCCGGGCCTCCAGCCCCACATGCTGCCCCACGGGTGTGTGTGTGGTAGTGTCACCACCTCTGGGCTAGGAGTCTCAAATTCAAGTCCCACATGCTACAAGGGTGTGTATGTGTGAGAGTGTCCCCACCTCTGGGCTAGGAGTCCAGGCTTGGAGTCCCACATGCTACAGGAGTGTGTCTCTGGTAGTGTCCCCACCTCTGGGCTAGGAGCCTTGGATTCAAGTCCCACATGCTGCAGGGATGTGAGTCTCTGATAGTGTCCCCACCTCTGGGGTAAGAATCTCGAATTCAAGTCCAACATGCTACAGGGGTGTGTATCTCTGAGAGTTATCCCACCTCTGGGCTAAGAGTCCAGGCTTGCAGTCCCACATGCTACAGGGGTGTGTACCTCTGTTAGTGTCCCCACCTATGAACTAGGAGTTTCAGCTTCCAGTGCCTCATGATCCAGATGTGTCTCATAACATCTCTGAGCATGTTGATTAAGACCAACATTGGAGTCTTACAGTACAGCAGTAGTGTCCCAACTCTGGGCTGGAGACCTGGCTTCAGGTTCCACCTGCACCAGAGATGTCTCATAACATCTCTAAGCAGGCTGTTTATGACCAGCAATGGGCTTTTGTGGTGCTGCAATAGTGTCCCTACCTCCATCCCAGGAGACTCGGGTTCATCTGCTCCTGAAGTGTGTCAAACATCTTTGAGCAGGTTAGTTGGTGGGGTGGAGAAAAGACATCTAGAATACCAACATTGGCAAAGACAGGGTGGCATTGTGATAATCCAGAATACTGCATATTCTGGATTCAGTCTTCACCGAGTGGAATGTAAGTTCAAGAAATGAAACCCAGAATTGAAAGGTATTGTCATTAAAAACCCAACTCACTGATATGGGCAGCACGGTGGCTCAGTGGTCACAGCACCAGGGACCCAGGTTTGATTCCAACGTCGGGCGACTGTCTGTATGGAGTTTGCATGTTCCCCCCGTGTCTGCTTGGGTTTCTGCCAGGTTCTCCAGATTTCCCCCCCCACAGTCCAAAGAAGTGCAAGGTAAGTGCATGGATTGGCCATGCTAAATTGCCTCAAAGTGTTTAGGGATGTGTAGGTTAGGTGCATTAGCGACAGGAAATGCAGGGTTACAGGGATAGGGTAGGGGGAATGGGTCTGGGTGGGATGCTCTTCGGTGGGTTGGTTTGGACTTGTTGGGCCGAATGGCCTGTTTCTACACTGTGGGATTCTATGATTCCAATGATATCCTTGTGAGCTGGATATCCTGATGGTGGGGCCTATGTGTGACTCTAGGCTGATGGCAATGTGGTTGACTTGTGAACTGCCCTTTCCAAGGGAGCCAGCAAGCCACTCAGTTCCAGGAGGATTGGGAAGAGCCTCAAATGTTAGCCTGTTCAGCAATGTGCACAACCCGCAAAGCAGTGTGAAAAAAATGAGAAGGCTATCAAGCCTTTTTTTTTCCCGTCAGTTAGGTCATAGTCGATCACATTTTAACTCCCTGACCTGTGTCCACACCTCAACACAATCCTGTCATTCTCAGTTATAGGTTTACTGATCTTTGTCCCAGTCACTGTCTTCTGTGCCCCTTTCACCGTCTCCTCACAGCTTCACAGAACATCATTCCAGATTTGCACCATCCTGTGTGTGAAGAAGTGCTTCTCAACCCTCCTTTCCATGGTCTCGCTCCAGTTTTAAGAATATGGCCTCAGCTTGCATCTGAACCAGCCTGGGTGCCAGCAAGGTCTCGTGGCAATAGAGAGGTTGCAGGAGACAATCACTGGGAATGATAGATAGTAGGAACTGCAGATGCTGGAGAATCCGAGACAACAAGGTGCAGGGCTGGATGAACACAGCAGGCCAAGCAGCATCATAGGAGCAGAGAGGCTGACGTTTCGGGCCTAGACCCTTCATCAGAAAAGGGGGAGGGGAAGGGGGTTTTGAAATAAATAGGGAGAGAGTGGGAGGCGGATAGAAGAGGGATAGAGGAGAGGATAGGTGGAGAGGAAACAAACAGGTCGAAGAGGCGGGGATGGAGCCAGTAAAGGTGAGTGTAGGTAGGGAGTTAGGAAGGGGATAGGTCAGTCCAGGGAGGACGGACAGGTCAAGGGGGCGGGATGAGGTTGGTTGGTAGGAGATGGAGGTGTGGCTTGAGGTGGGAGGAGGAGATAGGTGGGAGGAAGAACAGGTTAGGGAGGCAGGGACGAGCTGGACTGGTTTTGGGATGTGGTAGGGGGAGGGGAGATTTTGAAACTTGTGAAATCCACATTGATACCATTGGGCTGCAGGGTTCCCAAGCGGAATATGAGTTGCTGTTCCTGCAACCTTCGGGTGGCATCGTTGTGGCACTGCAGGAGGCCCAGGATGGACATGTCGTCTGAGGAATGGGAGGGGGAGTTGAAATGGTTCGCGACTGGGAGGTGCAGTTGTTTGTTGCGAACCGAGCGTAGGTGTTCTGCAAAGCGGTCCCCGAGTCTCCGCTTGGTTTCCCCGATGTAGAGGAAGCCACACCGGGTACAGCGGATGCAGTATACCACATTGGCAGATGTGCAGGTGAACATCTGCTTGATGTGGAAAGTCTTCTTGGGGCCTGGGATGGGGGTGAGGGAGGAGGTATGGGGGCAGGTGTAGCACTTCCTGCGGTTGCAGGGAAAAGTGCCGGGTGTGGTGGAGCTGGAGGGGAGTGTGGAGCGGACAAGGGAGTCACGGAGAGAGTTGTCCCTCCGGAAATGATGATGCTGTTTTGAGTGACGGGAATGTGGGCTTCTGCAACTGGTCTCAGAGCAGAGATGGTTAAGAGGAAATTTACCAGGGCAGTTCAAAATGGTGAAGGGATAGTAGGAACTGCCAATGCTGGAGTCTGAGATAACAAGGTGTAGAGCTGGATGAAGACAGCAGGCCAGGCAGTATCAGAGGAGCAGGAAGCGTCAGCTTTCCTGCTCCTTTGATGCTGCCTGGCTTGCTGTGTTCATCCAGCTCTACACCTTGTTATCTCAAAATGGTGAAGGTTCTTTTTGATAGACTGAGAAGAGAGAAACCATTTCCACTTGAGGGCAGAGTCACTATCTGAAGTAATCAGTAAAGGAGAGAGGAGGGCCGTTATTATTTTCCTTTGGATGTTAAGATCTGGAAAACACTGCCTGGAAAATGGGGTGGAAGAAGAGTCTACAGTAACTTTCAAAATGGAATTGGGTATTTGAAGGGGAGAGCATTTCCGGACTCGTGGGAAAGGGTCTGGAGCAGTGTAGACATTCGGTTAGTTCTTTCAAAGAACTGGCACAGTTATGGTGGGCTGAATGGTCTCCTTCTTATTGAGATGTTGTAACACAGCAAGCCATTTGGCCCATGCCTTCTCTGGCTTCAGCAATCCAGCCAGTCTCAATCCCCCACTCTATCCCTGTAAGTTTCTTTACCTCCAGCCCCATTTCCTTTAGAAGTTGTCTCTGCTTCCATCAGCCTTGTAGGTAACAAGTTCCAGATCATTGCCACTGGCTGTGTAAAACATGCTCTTCCTGACACCAGGCCTGCATCTCGTGCTCAAGACTTGTGTTCAATATTCATCGTACAATCAATGAATGGGTATGACCCTTCATTGTATGACTAAATTTCAACGACAACAACTTAGAATTGCAGTTAATGTGATACAATCTGATCTGCTTCACAGGGACATTATATAAAAAGAAGGTATGGCGTCAGGCCACACCACGAAATCATGGAATTGTTACAGCATTGAATGAGGAGATTCAGCCCTTTATGCATAAACAAGTAAGATTCTTAGGGTCTTGACAGGGTAGGTGTGGAGAGGACATTCACACTTTCAAGTATGCCCCACCATTCAATCAGATCATGGCTGATCCGGTAATCCTTGACTCTAATTTCCTGCCTTTTCCCTATAACCCTAGATTCCCTCACTGATTAAAAACTCTGCCTATCTTGGCCTTGAATATATTCAATGACCCAGACTCAACAGCCCCGTGCAGTACATATTTCCACATATTCACCAACTCCTGAGTGAAGAAATTTGTCCTCATCTCTGTCTTAAATGTGTGACCCATTATTCTGAAATTATGCCCACTGATCCTGGATACCCCGACAAGGGGAAACAACCTCTGCACATCTACTCTGTCAAGACCCTAAGAATCTTATTTGTTTCAATAAGGTCGCTTCTCATTCTTCCACAGGCTCAAGCTACTCAACCTCTCCTCATAAGACAGTTCCTCCGTACCCATAATCACCATATTTTACAAATTCGCACTGATTCTCCTCAGTTAACTCAATCCTGACCAAGTGCTTGTCGATATTTTACTTGGCTGTTGTTTCTAACATCTCACTCACCACTGATGTTAAACTGGCTGATCTGTAGTTACTAGGATTGTCTGTATGAATAAAAACACCACTGTACTGTTCCCTAATCCTCTGGTATCTCCCCCTATTTTGGAAGATTACAGCAAGCCTTTCTGCACTCCATTCCCCCACTTCCTTTAATGACTTGGCATACAGCCACCCTGACCATCTGACTTATCCACTCCAAATATAGGCAGCCTTTCCAGTACATCCTGTTGATCAATTTTGATTCCATTATTAATCTACCATCTCCACTCCCAATGATATGTTGTCAGCATTCTCTTCCTTAGTAAACACTGATACTGTTGCTCATTGTATGTTGTAGCCTTACTCTGTACCTCTAAATAGGCATTACTGTCTTTGTCCCCAATAGGACCCTAACTACTTGCTTACTATTACATGGAAGTTTTTGCATTTACATTCATGTTTCTGTGCTGTGGGATTCCTTGATTCTTGGTGTTACAGTGGCTGTTAAATGTAAAATGAAAGG